TTGTGAAGAGAATTATCACCATCAACAATAAAAACAACAACAGAAACCATCTAACTCTTAAAACTAACCTGAATGCGCTCACCATCATATTTAGTCTCAAGAAGTATCTGAGCTGTGTCTAAATCCACCGACCCCAAGCTGCACAAATTCGCCACAGACTGGCACAGCGCCTCCGGACTGTTTGATCGTTCACAAAGCATTGGCCGAAAAGGAATGAATAAAGTGATATCTGGTGTTGCTAGATGCGACTTGCCTCCCGCAATGGCGTGAACATCAATCTCGGCAATGCGCTGACACAAAATTCGCAGATCCTAATAAAGAAATCCAAAACAAGTTGAGGCTTACAGGACTGTTTCGATGGAAGTAATGATGAACACCTAGCGTGCTTCAAATATGGGTTGCTTGCAACAAACGCTGGCATCCATTCGAAGCTAACCCAGGACTATTCCGACAGTTTCGATCAGTTTGCTAATACGACACGTTTCTGTGGCACCTCTTCCCCATATATCTGTGCATTGAAAGTTTGAACTTTGAAAGCGTGAATAAAGCCACAGTTTCAATCCTAGCGTGTGCTCAGTTTTATTACTAAACAGTGCATTGGTTTCACATTGTTGGAACAGTTCCTGCGATTATCCCTTTAAATTTGTTCCTAAAAATGTGGCAAACTTAACTCAAATTAAAACAAGATTGTGAGCAGAAAAGAATTAGAAAGCAGATTGTTTGATAATCTCAAAAGTCGGGCACAATGTGAGAGGTCCAGTGATCAATTTTTGATCGCTACCCAAGTAAATATGGTGCGCACATCCGAAACTCACGATAAAAACAAATCAGAAAAAGAGCTGCGAGTGTAACGTGTGAAACGCAGAGATGGACCATGAACCGATTAAGGTGAAAGTGGAACGAGATGTGACACACGTATAGTGTGAGCACCAGAGTGGATCAAGTCTGAGAACTAGGAAAATCACTATTGAGAGTACATGATAAACAGTTGTAAATGCATAAGAAAAGTTTGGGTTCTGGATGTAACAGGATTAAAAAGTTATTTCGTTTTAAAAACCATATCATTTCCCTGATAAGTCACTGTGAATGTCATTTAAAAACCGAAAAATCGGTTGACGCTCGTTTAGTTCATCACAGAGAAAAATCACGTCCAGCTATTGTTCCCTAACTGAACTGTACTATTTAAAAATGTATTCGTGTGAGATGATCTTGGAAAAAAAACTTCAAAAAAACGCGAATATAGTACCTGGGTAACATTCCAGAGACTTGGAGCGGCGGGATGCAGACACTGTAGCACGCTCGCGACACCCACGCCGCATCCGGAATGTCTGCGAACTATGAAACGGATCATCCATTTCTGTTCGACAGCAGTTGCGGAGCGCAAAAATTGTGTGACCGCGTCCATACGTTCCTCTGAATTGTCAGCATTAGCCAACTGGTCCAACAGATCATTTGCATCCTGTATTCATTTCGGTGACAGATAGTAAAAAAGTGGCAATGAACTGAGGATTACAAACTAATAATGTTTTAATGTTCATGGGGAAAGAGAGAGTGAGAGTGAGTGAGTGAGTGAGTGGGTGAGTGAGTGGGTGAGTCCACTAGAACCTGAAACCGCTTCAAAACTAGTGATAAAAATGTCTAAGAAGCACTGATAAACTTTTTGCACGTTTCATCTGCAAAGAAGAATGGCATTCCAAAAATAATGCCAGTAAAACATTCACAAAGAACTTTACCAATAACGTACGTCTATAACGAGCCAGGCTCTATTGGTTCTATCAAACAAAATATGTTGCATGCGTGTACTCTGCGATCGGTAACGATGAAACACGCTCTATGGTGAAGATTTTCGTACATCTATGTTAGTTATTAGTTTGAACACTTTTGGCCTTTTTCTTTCAAGTATTTCTTGTCTCGGCAAGCACTGCACGCAAGGGCATTTTATTTGATGGCATGCGTAACACATATCCCATTCTTTTCGGAATTTGTATATTTTATTCTGTGTGACGGCCGGTGTACATTTTTATTGAATCGTCAATATATGAGCATACACAAGTTGTAGAAATACACATATAGATGAGACAGCACTTGAGTATACAGTAATCCACTGAGTCTGAAGCCGCTCTAAGTTGGGAAAATAGAAAAATGAAGGTCTGATTTCAAGCACTTGGTGAACACTAAAAATATGGTCGATGTATCCTCAACCCCGTTTGAAACCAACCTGATTCTCAAGAGGACACAGTTCACGTGCATAAGACAACAAACGGATTATAATGCTTGCGAGAAGCCGAGGAATGATTTTGACTAAATTATTTACTACTCGGATTTTCACAAGAACTTCTATCCTCTTCCCAGCAAATCGATAAAATGAGCGACACACCATTCGCAAGGAGTCCACTCAGTTTCCCATGATATACACATGATTCTTATCGACTATAATACCAAGGATGAATCGCCTAAAATACTGATGGGAACAGCCTATTGGGACCAGAGGTCTTAAACGTTTTAAGATAACTTATACCCTAAGAAAATTCTGTTTCGTAAGGAGAACAAAAACAGTCATTTCAAATAGTGAACTACTTTTACGACGGACACTACCCTCGTAAAACCCAGTGTATCAACCCAGCATAGTAGCTTTGTGGCAAATCAGTCCGTAACCTGCATGGAAGACCTGATCCGGTGGGAGGCTTTTGATTGGAGTTAACAGGTGATCAACTGTCTCCCTCGTTGCTGGCGGGCCAAAACTGACTGACTATCACTGAAGACGATACATAAACAAACAAATTTGCAATTCCGTTCAGCCCTGGTGTGAGCTGGTTGGTGCAGTAGTAACACACGGGACGACGGATATGCACTAATGATGAGCTCTAGTAAGAGCGAAACTCGAGTCTGATGCTTTCCAGTTTATGGTGACTGGATGAACTGAGGGTTGTGCGTGAAGGGAAGTCCGAAAGATAGTCAGCTCAAATCAATATCAATTATCCCATACCACTAATGACAAGTAACTGTGATTTAAATGCGAAAGTACCATTTCACATGCAGAAGAGACAAACAGCACGTTTACATCGCAATCGATTACCATGTTTTCTTCGGAGTGGCCTAAACCGCATTCAATACTATACTGCATTCCAAGACCGTAAAATCAAACTGAAGATATATCACCAATGAACCAAAGCTAAAATGAAGTCAGAAATTTACCTTGAGCGAAAGAATATTGTCCTCGCGACAACGATCCCGAACAGCATCAAATAGAATATCCGCAAAGTCTGCACCTTTTCCAGAATACACTGGATGATTAAGACGTTGCGCGACCGGACCGTTCGGAGCTATCCCGAAAGCTTTTATATACAAGCGAGACAGAGCAGCTTCACGCAAACCATATGCTGGTCTGGCTCTGTCCACCTCCGGGATGAGCAGTCGCAAACAAGGGTAGAAACTGGCCCGACCAGCTGCCGGATGTGAATCTGTGGGACTCAGTGTGGCATACTGATTTTCCCATAATTGAAGAAAGCGAGACAGAATCTGACGCCTGGATTTCGCATTCGGACTGCTTTTCAGTTTCTCGAACAGTCGACAACAGGTGAGAAACTTGATCTGGTCGGCAATGCGATTCCCCTCTTGCTCTATATCCATAACTCAATAGGATCTGAGAAGGGCTCGAAAGCTATTCTCGAACCTGATTTAAGGCTGAAAGGGAAACATAATAGAAATTGTGTCAACCAAGCACATCTGGTCATATAAGCCGCACCTCGTATACTGACAGTCAGCAATGAGGTGAGATGCATCTTCTTTTGGTCCTCAAATCGTAATCGGATTAGATTTGGAGTAACCAAAACAAAGAAGCAGCGAACCCGAATGTCACCACTATGATAACTTTCTCAAAAACATGAGGTAATTAGATTTGACCTTTTCCTATGCAATTCGCGAAATGCTCAGCAGCTCTTGAAGGTGGAAGCGATAACTACTTGATTCCCTTTTTCATATAAATGTTTTCACTCCTTTACTGTTTATTGATGATAAAAATGTACAATAAACTTTCAAGAAGGCTGCCGCGGCCATACAAAGGCTGTCTGGGGAAATACAAGCAATGGGCAGGTGGGCGGTGATGGCGGGTTTCGAACTCAGGACACCTAGTTGATTATTTCGACGATCTTACCGTTATCTCCACCGTCACTAATAAGGGACCATTTTACGGACAGAACTCAGTCCACCTCACCCCCTGTGAAGATCGTCCTCATTTCTTTCCACATGAGCCCTTAAACGTTTCAAGACGCTCTTATGATTACTCTAATCTTTTTCATATTTGTAACTCATTAAAGGCTTCTGATTCCTCCTCTCTGATGCCGCATTATAGTTTGACCACACACGAAATGGAATTATTCCAGATCCTCAGTCACCCACTTCGTTAAGAAATAAAACTAGCCTTTCGGTCGGATTTCGACTACAGATTCGCTTTTATTTTATTGCCCGGTCGAACGTTCTTCAGAAACTAGAATGTTTCGGGTGCCCAACTAATTTTCTGGCATGGTTAGTAAAGTCATCCTAGCGGCGTGAGCAACGCACAAAGTTTGTGGGTGTGACTTCCAGTTTATAACGTTCGAATCAGGAGTGCTTCAGTGTACGTTTTTATCACCACTTCTGCCTTTTACCGAAATGATTGATCTCCCTACTGACTCTCATGGCTATCTTGTCAAACGAGCAGATGTCATTCAATGCTAAACGGCAGGTACCCTTGATGGCCTCGCAAATCGATCCCTTAATCTTTTCAAAGTCTCCAACTTCTCTGAAACCCACATACAAACCAATCCAAATGTGAATGCATTTTACTTTTTCACGTTCCAAATCCCGAAACCGACCGCACCACACATCACGTCATTGGTTTTCCCAAAACAGGCCTCCATCAACATCTAAACTATGACCCTCCACCTCGACTGCGCAAGTACTGCCAGTTGATACCAGTCCTCCATCTGAAATAGAGGTTTCCCGGGAAATAAGCTAACTCAAAAGCTATAAGGCCTCCGACCCAGACGGGTTGTCCTCATCGGCTTTTAAGGATGGAGGCTCAACCTTGGTCTCGGACTTTACAAAACTCCTGGTCTGTGTGGGAGAGGGAGGAGGTTCCAACGGAATGGTGTGAATCGGTCATAATACCGACTTACAAGAAAGATGACAGATCCTTTTGTGAAAACCACAGAGTAACTATCCTCGTGCGAGAATGGTGGCATCGATCTACTCACAGGTGACAGGCTGTGTGGTCTAGAGCATGCGGAGGATATTGTGCTACTAAGTGAAGATGGTGGTGGGGCAACCGGTCGAGCAATGCTGAGGTTAGGTTCAGAGTTTTGGGTGAACGCGGTCATCCACTGGAGCAAATGGTCGACCTCAATGGATTACATTGGTTGAGTCATATGTTACTCGGGTCACCAGATAGGTTGTCAAGACAAGCGATGTTCGCCGATGCAGGTAGAGCGTGGAATAAAGTCAATGGTTTCCAAGCTAAGACCTGGCACGAGGGTATGAAAACCCTAACCAGGACACTGGGTCACATAGGTCCCTTTAGGCTCCTTGGATGGGGACCTCGGGATGATCGTACCCGATGGTTTGAGACATTAAGTGATATGTCTGAGTGTCGTAAACAGTGACGTTCGTGCATCTTGTCGATTTCTCTGCAACAATAGTTCACTGAATTTCGAAATTTTCTCTTGGATCCTACTTTCAACGTTTCGTGTTTCTCCTAATGTTGATCCAAATGGGTAGCCAAAAGACAACACTCAAAAAAGGCGCACGATAGTGCATGGTTAATGGTTGTGCAAAGTGAAACTGCACAGAAACCGCAATCTTAGATATGTACGTTTTGGTTATGTAGTTTTTTCTCACGCCTTTGACCGTTGCATCCGAAGTGAGACTGAATGATGCTATGTATCCTTCGTTTGTAAGTACAGCGTATAACTCTTTAACCATGTTGAGATTGGGATCGTTAAGCAGCAGTTGTAGGTGTTCAAACTTGGAATTTGCAATGCTCTCGGAAGTGCAACTGTGATTAAACATTAATGACATGCCTTTAAGGGCAAAAGTCCCTCGCAATATTTACGGAGAAAAATTCCCACAATAGTTAATCCTACTGAAGACTGAAAACGAACACAAAATCCCTGATGAACTGTTTACGCCTAGCAGAAACAAAGATGTTACACGATATTAGTCTGCGCTAATCACCGCACGTAGGTAGCCGCTGCCAAAGACACCCACACAGTCTACTCATGATTGTGTAATAACTGTTTTTTTGCATATCAATAGTGTTCCACGAGGTTGTAGGATAGCCCTCCAAATGAAATCGACTTGATTGTTCTAGTGGATGGTGAAACCAAGCAATTTGAAAACCGGAACGAAATATACTGACTTGCACTTGCTCGTGGTTTGGTGTTGTGCTGGGATAACCAAGGTCGAAATGGTTTTGGCCTTTGACGGAGTCATGTTTGATTTCTTTAGGAAGATGCGCTTTCTCCGCTGTCATATTGGTATCTGGAGGAATAAGTCTGTGAGCGACTAACAGCGCAGCAGAGGTCGAGGAGGTTTATCTTTCGTGCTTTGGTTGTGTGTGACAGTTCACTTCTGTTTGAAAGAAGTCTCAACCGCGTTTTGCCCACCTTAAAATGCATATGGAGTTCCTCAACGAGAGTGGGGATTGGTAGACGATAATGAAGCTCAAATTTGAAGGTGGATTCACAGTTACGGATTACCTTGTACTATGACCATCCATTTCCGGCGGTGTCAGTGTGGCTTTTTGTCGGGCACTGGGAAAATCTGACAAGTGCCACAGCTTGGTCTATGTCCATTGGCGTAGATCACTGGGAGTGAGAGTATCGAACAGGTCGTCGCCAGCGGTAACCGATAGTAATGTGGCCGATTTGATTTCATCACAAAGAAGATTGGGGTGGCTTTCATACACGTCTATTTCACTTTGCGGGGTGGGATTGGGCGCTCAATGGGAACAAACGGTGGTCTGCGCATACCTGGAGTAGGCAATCCCCATTGTCGTTCGGTTGAATGGAATCGCATGTGGGTTGCCCAGACGCTTATCTGATTCATCCTAGTTAGTTGCTGCTGCCGCTAACCTGGATTATTAAGCCGCCGGTGCATGGACAGCCACTGACTGAGATGCTGTCAAGAAGAAAACACCCAGCTTTCATTCCAAGCGCAATGTGAGAGCTAACCGCTAAATCACTTGAAACACGGAGACTTAGCAGAGGGGTTAGATCTAAATAATGTAGTGATAACTGAAGTACTACCTTTTACATGTATTTCGGACACAGAATAAGTTTGCATTGAATGTTTTAATGATTCGGGTTGTGTGGAGATTCAATGCCATTATTTTTGGCTTAATCAATATAATGGTTTCTAGTTGCTTCCCCTCCTAGTCAAACTCTGAAAGGGGTGGAAACAGGAGACGTCTCGTGCGTTTTGAGCATTAAAGAGAGAACCAGACAAGTGAGGGAGATTTCCAAAGTAGGTGTTGACACTTCAAGGTACGATGGATTTCGTAGGTTTATCTTTGGG